CTATTCTTTGTTTTCTTTTGGGGGTGGGGGGAGCCGAGGAGGTGCTGCTATACTTAACCCTTGATAGTGTATGCATTTGTATGCGTGCGGGTGTGAATACTGAAACTGAAACAAAAACGAACATTCAGAGTAGTGGCGGGGGGGGGGGGGGGGGTTGAACTTAGTCTGTGCGGTGTGTCACTCCCGGTCATTTTGTTCTTCGAAAGTCTTGGTTTTCGCTTCATATGCTTTCATTGTACTCTTTTATGTTCTTGTTGTTTTTATTGCATTCTCTTGCGTTCTTGCTCTTTCTTCTTTCAATTCAACTTCGGGCGTATATCTCATAATCGTATCGGGAAATTCGTTTTTGTTTCATGCGTGTCGTCAACTTTTAATAATAATAATAATAATAGTAATAATAATAATAATAATAATAATAATAATAATAATAATAATAATAATAATAATAATAATAATAATAATAATAATAATAATAATAATAATATCTGAGTTTTACGTCTCAAAATCTTGATATGATTATGAAAGACACCGTCGTGGAGGCCTTTAGAAATTTCCACCACCTGGTGCTCTGAAACGCGCGCTGACATTGCACCGTACACGGGCCTCTGGCTTTTACCTGCCGTCAACTTTTTTTGTTTCATCCACCTTTCTTCTTTTTCTTCGTTCGTAATCCGTGACTTTCTTTTTTTCATCACCTTCTTTTCCTTCTTAACTGAATTACTTTTGTTCTTCCATCACACCTACAATATTTGTTTTCATCTTCATTTTTCTTTTGTCGGCTGTTTTTTATTGCGAATCTTCTTTCATCGTCATGCTCATCTTTGTAGCCGGTTTCACAAGATCAAGAAAGCCCTGCTGATCAACGTGGCGCACACCAGCGCCGTCGGTTGCATGGCCACCATCCTGGGAAGCACGTCGGGCCTCTACCTCCGGGACTACTTTCACTTGTGAGCCGCATCCCTGCTTCGTACATAACGGATGTCTCGGATGATGTGCCCTGAAATCTTGTAAAATTTGCACACTTTCGTGGTATGCCCCAAGTTGTCGACAGCGGCACGGACTTTATATTGAGGCATTGTCGAGCCGCTTCTTGTCAAGAATAGCTGTGCCCGCTAAAACGCACGTAAAATGTGAAGATGTAAGGGCAACTGTAATAAAAGTAATTGCATATTTAGGTTTATCACATGGATATATGTAAAATGAGCATGATTTGTTGTTATATAATTGCGGTGGTTAAACGTTCGCGAAACCACGATATTTTGAAGGACACTGCACTAGACGGCTCTGGAAATTTTAACCACCTGGGATTCTTCAACGTTCACCCATATCCAAGAACATGGACCTCGAGCGTTTTCGCTTCCACCTAAAATGCTTTCACCGCGGCCGGCATTCTTTCCCGTGACCTTCGGCTCAGACGTCGAGCACCACCTACGGCGTCTTTCGTAATCTTATCGCAATTTGAGGGAAATCGCCAACTATTATATTACTGAGTCGTACTAAATAACTGACAAAAATACTTAAACTTGAACCGCATGCCGATTGAGTCTGAAGGCGGAATGAAATTTCTTGATACAGAGAAGCTATCGTCATTTAAGGGTTTGAAAAATGGCGAGGCCGTGGTTGATTTTCGCAGGCAAATGTAGTATGGTTAGTTTAACGCAGGAAAGACGGACGCGGAGGACGCATCATTCAGGCGGACGCAGAGATGTAGTTGTGATTTCTGACTATTCATGAAATGTTCACCTCGCATTCACCGACGGAGATAGTCCACGCAGCCGCCGCGCCTAGTTTGCTCGAACCGGCGCGAGCCGAGTACGAGCGATGAAAGGCCGGCGCTTCGACCTTGCATGCCACAGCCAGCTTTGCACGTTCGCTATGGCGCTGGAATTGGGACTTTCTCGCCTGGTATGTGTCGGCATGTGTTGCGGTTCTTTAGTTAACTTGTTTGCGCTGAGGAAACACATTGCATCAGCCAAGAAGGCCACCTTAACCACTAATATCAACAAGCTTTGTTCATTCGTAAGCTTTACACAGCTTGTGTATACTTCGCCATTTTAAACGCTAAGCATTTCTAATTGAACTTCGGCGAGCTTGACCGTATCTATCTATCTATCTATCTATCTATCTATCTATCTATCTATCTATCTATCTATCTATCTATCTATCTATCTATCTATCTATCCGTCCGTCCGTCCGTCCGTCCGTCTATCTATCTATCTATCTATCTATCTATCTATCTATCTATCTATCTATCTATCTATCTATCTATCTATCTATCTATCTATCTATCTATCTATCTATCTATCTATCTATCTATCTATCTATCTATCTGTCTGTCTGTCTGTCTGTCTGTCTGTCTGTCTGTCTGTCTGTCTGTCTGTCTGTCTGTCTGTCTGTCTGTCTGTCTGTCTATCTATCTATCTATCTATCTATCTATCTATCTATCTATCTATCTATCTATCTATCTATCTATCTATCTATCTATCTATCTATCTATCTATCTATCTATCTATCTATCTATCTATCTAGTTGGTGTTCCCGAATCTTTTTTTTATTGCTGGCTTGTTAAAAAGCGTGAATTAGTGATTGCTCTTGAGTCGTTTTTCTATTGCTGACATAAAAAAATACGAGTACTATCGGGTGACTTCGAGTCGTTATCTTGTTGCTGGCTTACCGAAAAAGCGTGGATTAGTGGGCGTTTGTGAGTGAGTTTTCTCATTCGAGGCTTCCCCGCAGCACGTACGGCTACGACGCCGTGACTGCGCTGTCGTGGACGCTGCTGGCTCTTCCAGTGGCCGCCGTGTCCGTCCTGCTGTGCGCATTCATCACCTACTACCTCTTCCTGCGCTCCTAGTGAGTGTGTCCGGCATGGACGATACTTTACACGCGTTCTCCACCACGTTTTTATCCCCATCATTCGGGCAGCCTTGACCACGGTTAAGCTTACTAAAGTCAAGGTAGGTATACGCGACGGATGTAATTGCAGTTAGTGTTGTAACCGCGTTCGCCCTGACGAGATGGTGGACAAGTTGCCAGTGTATCAGCAGTGATCCGGTTCAAGTACTATAGGCAGCCAAGGGAATTTTTTTCGTGTGGGCAGGGGGAGGGACCATTTGGATTTCGGGGAAAAACCGCCTTAAAATGGTCATTTTGCGCTCTGTTTACCATGGCAAAAAACATATATATTCGAGCGAAGAAGGAGGGCATGGGTGTGGTGTGCCACCCTCAGGCTACGACCCTCTAGGCAGGAATACTTGTTGTTTGAAGAATTTTGGCGAACGCGAATTCAGTCATTGGACGATAGTCAATAAAAACTCTGGGTGGCAAAAGGAGACTCGCTGAGGAGCACGGCAAACAACAGATATATCTGCTGCATTTCGATCCTCGGAAGAAGTAACGAAAGAGTGCAGCCATATCGCTCCACGTTTTCTCAGTCCCCACGTGGGAGCTGCCCGCAGCACAGTGATTTGTGTTTTGGAGGACCAAATAAAAGTTTATCCAATCCAATCCAATTTCAGGCAAAACTCCTTGCGCATTGTTCGCCTCTAGCGGCCTCTTATGGTGGCGAACGCTGAATACGCAGTAGCATGGGGGCGTGCCCAAATGAAACCGGGTTGGCACACCTGTCCCTTGCTCAACCTAACTTTTTAAAGTGTGAATACACTTTATAAGCGACCCCAAGCCATTCACCGCCGTCGGCGGCGTCCGTCCGCAGTCTTCTCTCTATCTTTCAAAGAAAGAGGACTTGGCGGGCCGCAGCGCGACGCTCTGCCAAATAAGCCACGGACGCGATGCTGATGTCCCCCTTCGCTCGCTCCTACGCTCTCCTCGCTCGCTGCAGCTGCGCGCGCACCCCTCTCTCTCGTGCGCCCGCCTTCTCTCTCAGTCTCCCGTCGAGAGCGGGTCGTGCGATGGATGTCCCGGAGGCAACGCTACCATCATCAACGAATGCAGTACAACCGAATGCCAGCACTGCACCCGTCGTTGGAGATGACGGTACCGCGGTGGTTTCGCCGACGTTGGAAGACAAGGCAGCGCTGCGAAGGGCTCGTGAAACCGAAATTAAGCGGGCGAAGCGTGCAGTGGATGCCGAACTGCGTGCTCGCGAGGCCGAGGACAAGTGGGCGAAGCGTGCAGAGGATGCCGAACTTCGCGCTCGTGAGGCCGAGGACAAGTGGGCGAAGCGTGCAGCGGACGCCGAACTTCGCGCTCGCGAGGCCGAGGACAAGCGGGCGAAGCGTGCAGCAGATGGTGAACTGCACGCTCGCGAGGCCGAGATGAGGTGTCAGCATCGAGCCGCGAACGCGGCCCAAGAAGCGGAACGACAGCGCAAGCGTCATGCGGAGAAGGGCGATGAAGGCCGGCGTCAAGACGCCGCTCGCAATCGTCAACGGCGAGTGGACGTTCCCGAAGCCGTTCGAGCCAGTGAACGTGCCGCGCGGGAGAGGGTGCCAGCCCTGGACTTTGCTCGCCCGGGGCTCGCATGCTATGAGGAGGAGTAAAGTTAAAATCCGTTGGCATTCGCCAGTGAGTTAACGCAAACTCCCCCGTGTGATCAAATTGCGATTCCCAGGAACTGATACACCATAAAGGCACCATAGTGTGGTTAATAAATATAATGTTGCGAATTAATAAATACCCCTCATAGCATCACCCCGTGCATTCGCACTTAACCATGTTCACCCTCGGGGAAATGCTTGGGAGGTTTTTCGTTCACCATGGCTACATACCCCCAAAATGACACTCGACCACATCTGCCTGCCTGACCCCCACTTCATAAGCCTCCCCCACCCCCCCTCTGCTCCTGAATAAATATCTGCCTCCGCCCATAGCCTAACAAAGCCCGTTGAGAAATGACAAGCCACGTTTTTGTTAACGGTGGTTCAGCCTGCAAACTATGGTTAAGCATAACCGCAGTTAAAGCTGTCCGTATAATAGGGGTATTAAGGGGAAATTAGGCGTGCCTCATCTTAGAGCGTTAAAACGAACATTACATTAGCATGCCGCTTCTTGTGCCTCGTTCATGCAGCGATATCCAGGAAGACAGCGACACCCTTAACGTCATCGCCGAAATCATCAAGAAGAAACGAAAGTTCTTGGGCAAGCTTACGTGAGTAACTTTCTCTCTTAGAGTATAATTTGTAGAACTACGCTATTTGTTGTGTAAGACCATGTTTTCATGAGCTGGTTCGTGCTTATCCACTCTTAATTTTTGGCTCAACAAGACGACAGAAGATCTTAACCGTCTTTTTTCGTATAAAAGATGTGTTACGCAATGAAGTGACGTCACGTCACTTGAAGGTAGTGCGGTGCCTTGTCGCCTATCTTGCATCACCTTGTGGCGCTAAATGTGACTGCGGTCTGATTGTGTTTCTTGCTTTCAGGCAAGCAGTGCAGACAAGAAAAAATCACAAAAATATCGGTAATCCTCTAGAAACAGCATGAACTTTTATGCTTGGCCCTAGCCTTCTGTGGCTTCTATACAAAGGGTGGCTGTCCACCGGTGCACGGAGTAGAATGTGTATTGCGTAATGCGTGTGCAGATCCAATGCGCCCTTTTAGTATACACAGACAGCGGAGCTTCGCTTCGCAGCATGTTTAAGTTTTCCTTGCTCGTCTCTGAATCTTTCCGCTAGTTGATGTCCAGTTTTGCGCGCTTTGTTATTGTACTTATAATGATGCTATTTTCAATATTTTCAGTTTCTGCTACATTTTCATTGTACAACTTCTTCCACGTCGTTGACATTGTTTTACCCCCGTATTCATAAACGCTCCTTGGCTTTAGCTTGACTTGAAACCACCTTCAATGCAGCGTGTTTGAAATGCGTCTGTGCGTTTGTGCTGCTTTGGCACCGCCTAAGAACAGCGCGTTCGAAACTCGTTTGTGCTGCATTGAAGTCCGCTGCAAGTTAAGTTCAAGTAAAGCAGTGTTTCTGAATACGGGGTTAATCTACTGTAGTACATATAACCCACGTCATCTAACAGACAGAAGGTTTGCCTTAGCTGATTTCTGTGGAACATTCTTATGTAAACTTATGCATATGTAAACACGTGTGCTTTATACGCAAATAAACTGAAAACTGGACAATAGAGACACCTAAATAATAAACAACGTTCTCAGGTGTAAGGAACGAATCATTATGGCGGCGCTCGCCCTGCTGTTTGTTTGCTGCATCACCATCAGCGGCATCAGCAGCCTGTTCGGACTCCAGGAGCAGCTGTCAGTCAAGTGAGTCACATGTCTGAAGTCATAATGTGAAAATCATGACATGTATTTCATGAATGTTACGATTTACATTTTATGGTCCTAGATCTCTTGTGGTGGTTTTGTTCACATGGCATGTTGCAAAACTGGTATGGTATGACATGATTGCATGGCGAATACAAGCGACAGACCCTAACATAAAAATTGACATACGTGTCATGTAACAACATGAGTACATGTCATGCTCTTGATGCGCTCGCGGCCGTTTCGCTAGAGTCACATATAACAAATTCTATATTACGTTACGTGAATGGATGACAAAGGTATGTGACTGGTTCAAACATGATAATCATGAGTTGCGTGTCATATAATACCATGACTACATGCCATGCTCATGATGCGCTGGCGGCCGTTTCGCTAGCTTCACGTGTACCAACCTCGGTATTACGCGACGCGAACGGACGAGATAGGTAATTGACACATCCAAACATGATAATAACGACATGCGTGTGATGTAACAACATGACTACATGCCACACTCATGATGCGCTCGCAGCCGTTTTGCTATAGATTCCCATATGCCAAATTCTGTATTGCGTGACCTAAATGAATGACGACGGTATGTGACTGGGGCAAACATAATAATCATGAGATACGTGTCACCTGAGAACATGTCTACATGTCACAGTCAAGGCGCCTATACATTTCGACGAGACGTGGTGCGCGCGCTCGCCGGCGTTCATTACGTCGCGTCACTCCGGTGTTGCCACGCCAGGTGCCAATCCTGCCATGTACTCGCAGGCGCGTGCCGTGCTGCGTTGCTTTGACGCATGCGCGTTTCAGCGCGTCCGGCGTCCCTCCATGATAAAAAAATTGCCCGCCGCTTCCCTCGGGGGAACACTGAGGAGGATGCGGAGCATATAATTGGTTAACGGGGTGTTAAAGTGCGACTTACTTGGGTCGATGGCTAAATTGGTTAACGTGGTTGTGAAATGGGGTGTTGAATTGCGACTTACTTGGGTCGATGGCTAAATTGGTTAACGTGGTTGTAGGAGGGGGTGTTAAATGAGTGAACACGTACACACGTATGCGAAAGGGCGGCGCTGGTCGAAGGGACGTCGATCATTGTGTTTGTGGATTCGTTGGAATTCATTTCACCGCGACCTTGGACGTCGACGCGCCGTACAAACCAACCGACGAGCGCCAACTGAGCGAGCGAGCACCGACCTTGAGTATATATACAGCTCGACGGCACATGCACTGTCAGCTGTTGAATGTTCTCGAAGCGCGACGCCACATGCGCGTCCACTGGAGAATCAGGAGAATTGTAGATGTCGAACGCGGTGTGTAGAGGAGGAAGGGTGCACAGATGGTGGAGGAGTGAAGCGCGCGCGGTGTGTAGAGGAGGAAGGGATGCACAGATGGTGGAAGAGTGGGCGACGGCGCGACGGCGCATGCGCGCGCGTCAGCTGTCGAATGTTCGAGAGCGGTGCGGACGGCGCGGACGGCGCACTACAAGGCGCGAGTATAAGATGCTTCCGCATCTAAAAACTCCCAAGCATTTCCCCGAGAGTGAACATGGTTAAGTGCGAATGCACGGGGTGATGCTATGAGGGGTATTTATTAATTCGCACTATTATATTTATTATTCACAATATGGTGCCTTTATGGTGTAATGGTTCCTGGGAATCGCAGTTTGATCACACGGGGGAGTTTACGTTAACTCACTGGCGAATGCCAACGGATTTTAACTTTACTCCCCCTCATAGCATGTGAGCCCCGGACGAGCAAAGTCCAGGGCTCGCACCCTCTCCCGCGCGGCACGTTCACTGGCTCGAACGGCTTCAGGAACGTCCACTCGCCGTTGACGATAGCGAGCGGCGTCTTGACGCCGGCCTTCATCGCTCTTCTCCGCCTAACGCTTGCGTTGTCTTTCCGCTTCTTGGGCCGCGTTCGCGGCTCGATGCTGACGCCTCATCTCGGCCTCGCGAGTGCGCAGTTCACCATCCGCTGCACGCTTCGCCCGCTTACGTTCGGTCTCACGAGCCCTTCGCAGCGCCGCCTTGTCTTCCAACGTCGGCGAAACCACCGCGGTACCGTTACCTCCAACGACGGGTGCAGTGCTGGCATTCGGTTGTACTGCATTCGTTGTTGATGGTAGCGTTGCCTCCGGGACATCCATCGAACGACCCGCCCTCGACGGGAGACTGAGAGAGAAGGTGGGCGCGCGAGAGAGAGGGGTGCGCGCGCAGCTGCAGCGAGCGAGGAGAGCGGAGGAGCGAGCGAAGGGGGATATCAGCGTCGCGTCCGTGGCTGATTCGGTAGAGCGTCGCGCTGCGGCCCGCCAAGTCCTCTTTCTTTTAAAGATATAGAGAAGACTGCGGACGGTGCCGATGGCGGTGGATGGTTTGGGGTCGCTTATAAAGTTTATTCACACTTAGAAAGGGAGATGCAGTGTTGTCTGGGTAACGCATCGACGCGAAACACAGTATGTCGCATTTCGCTCCTGTTGCCGTCGGGCCGCGCTGACGAACGCTAGTCGCTCCGGTCGCGCTTAGCGTCAGAGTGCTCGCGTTTTGCTAACGTAGCGTCGCTGTGCCCAGTGTGTGCGCGCGTCACCGCTACATTGGAGTATACTTGGCCCTTAATGATGCACTCGCAGCCATTTTGCTAGCTCCACATAAACCAACTTTGATGTTATGTCACGTCAAGTGATGACGAAATATGTGAGTGGTGCAAACGTGATAATTTTGACACGCGTGTCATGTCAGTACATGATAACATACCATGCTCGCGACCGTTTCGCCAGCTCCACATATGCTATCACGTGACGTTAATTTGATATCACGTGACGTTAATAGATGACGAAGGTGAACGACACATCAAAACATGATAATCATGACAAGAAGGTCATGTACGGCATCATTTATCTCCCACTCATAACATTCTGCTGACTTTAAAGTGATATATAAAGCTTTCTCATTTGTGCTTCGCATATCATTGATTCCCACGGTACGTGGGATCTGCCAATGTTTTTTACAAATGAGCGTTGTGTGTCTCACTAGGAAAGGTAAACAATGAAATCTATCGATTTGTGCAAACTTCATAGAATGTCACGCACGCATGTGTTCAGTAAAGTAATGATTTACAGTACTTCGCGCTCATATGCAAGAGCAGGAAACCGCCCCGTCTTGTGTTATGAACACATGTTCAACGATTAGGAATAGGATGTACTCTTACTATAGCAGAAAGCTGTGTTTGGAAAAACTTGTTAATGATTTAAAGTACCTGGGACTCTACTATGGGAGAGCAAAACACCGTCCCGTGGGCCTCACCCACAACGCATCTTTAGCGGTACCTTACACTTCGAACCTAAGCCACGGGGATCTACCGTTCAGGGAATCAAAGACTTTGTGAAAGCACGTTTGCAGTCCATATGACTAACTACCGTTTTTGCCACAGTTGTAATTTGATGGTATATACCTTTCTAGAGTGAATATATTGTACAAGGTCGAAATTCACACCCATGAAAGTGTGCCGTCGTCCCGTGCGTGACATCTTTTATCAAAATAGCTACGAGAAAATTTTAATATTTAGCATATAGCTCAAACCATACGCGTTCAATGACTAAAGACACCATGAAAAAAAAATTGGCAGCATATCCACGGAGTGAATTGTGGATAGTGGGGCGAAGCATCCGTCCGTCCATTCGTTCTTGCTTCCGTCCATCCATGCGTGCGTCTTTGTGGCCGCCCGTGCGTCCATCCGCCCGTCCGTTCGTGCGTCTGTTCGTGCGTCCGCACGTTCATCTGGGCGTCCGTCCCTGCGTTCGTCCATGCATCCACCGCTGTGTCCGTCATTGCGTCCATCCATCCGTGCAGCCATTCGTGCGTCCGTCCATGCATCTGTCTGTGTGTCCATTTGTCCGCCTATTCAACACTCCAAGTACCACCATCTCGCATCTCTTCATCATATATTTCTCATATAGAAACACCGCCATCCAGTGGACATTCCAAGGACTGAACGTGAGGAGGCACACCACTTTCTTACGGCTTGCGCTTCGTGTGTACTTCCCACCTTTAACCACCTCGAGTTCATGGTATATACTAGATCACTGTATTAATGGCACTGCAGCCCAACGCTCGCTAAACCTTTCTAAAACCTAAGAGGTTACGCCCAGCGAGTATAACGTAGCAACACTTTCTTGTCTTCTGTGCGTTGTTGAACAACAAAAAATTCGCAGCGTGCGCGTTAACTAAAACCGAATTCTCCTGTCTCTCATTCCCCCTTTGAAGCCATTGGCATGTACATTGAGCACTATCTTTTATTGTTCAACAACGCACAGAAGATATCTCCCAACGGTACCACCTTAAAGGTCAAAATGTTAAACTTGTTACACACTACTATAACGGCACGAAGGATGAACAAGTGTTGCTATATGAGCTTCGCCCTTAAAAAATTGTTGTGATTCTGACCCTTTAGTGTGTATTCGTCGGCGACAGCTGTGAAAACTTACCCCTGTATTGCCATGCAGTCTCGTGTCACAAGAGCACTGTTATATTTGCATGTCTTCCACTTGAGTGAGTGAAGATTTCGCAGAACAGCAGTCGGCAAGCTTCGAGTTTAGGCACGCACATAAGCAAGGGAAGGCCCATTCCTCTCCCCTACCCACGAAATTTGTTCAGTTGGCTACATTTCCGGGCAATCTTTTTTTTTCCCTTAAAAGACTTTCTTTTGAACAGTTAGGTCTTGCAAGCCCTCCTCTGCCCTCCTTACTAGAAAATATCCTGGATACCATTGTCACACACAGGTCCCGTTAATTAGGGAGGCAATCGCCGGGCTAATTCCAAGAGCCGAAGTATCGGCCCCTCGAACCGCACCACGAAAGCGTGGACAATTCAGAAGTGGTCCTTTTTGGCACGCCAGCGGACGCTGGCTGTGGCCCAAAGAACAAGTCAGAGCCGAGAGTTGATAACCAAAACAAAATTATTCTCAATAATGGCAGATAAAAAAACGATACACAAATATGCACACTTCACAATAGTTGAGTACAATCGGTCACCACTCAAACAACGTACTACACAGTACCACTCAAACAACGTACTACACAGTACAATCAGCCACACTCTGAACAACGGACACAGACAACGACACGCCCTAAAATGCAGTCGCATGCATTGAACAACCAAGACACTTAAAGACCAAAGAGATAGAAAACCAATACAGTCCAAAGTTCTTGGAACAAACGTCTGGATGATACTCTTCCGAGAATCACTCACTCAAAGTCGCGCGTTGTCATTCCGCAGTCCCCGAAGTTTCTCTTTCAGGAATCCTCACGTCTTCAATAGGCCAATCTCCAAGCTTCAAACTTCTTCGCCGGAAACACGTCGGCTTCACACACGCAGCTGTTGCCACGCGTCTTCGCTCGATAGCGGTAAACACACACTCTTGCCTGTAGCTCGAGTCGTCACCCCTCAGGTGGAAATCATCTTCTCCCGCTTTGTGTCTACGGACAAAACCTTCGCCGACTACACGGCGGTATACCCTGTGTTTAGAAAAAAATGTTTAGCGATTTCGAATACTTCGTACTCAACTATGGGATAGCACTGAGCCGTCCCGCTAAAAAGAATACTCGGGCCTGAAATACGTGACGCGCTCTGGCGCTAACTTCCGTCTTCTCCTGCTCTCTCGTCTCGGCTGCTCGATTAAATACCTTCCGCGCGAGATTCCAGAAGGTTCTCGTCATTTCGTTGGCGCGATACGCAGCGAAGGCTGGGGAGAGGGCGAGACGGTTGGGATGCCCTCCGCGGCGGATGACTCAACTCAGTATGACCATGCCCTTTCCTTCTAAAAAAATCGAGGGCTTGCTCAGCCGCCATTGTGGGGTGAGGAGGTTCGTCGGCGAAGCCACGCTTTCGCGGGGACAGGGAGCGTGGCCGGGGAGCTTGTTTTCTTTTTTCTTTTTCTTTTATCGTTGACCTCGCGGCGTCACTCCGGCGTTTCGTCGCGAGGAGTTGGCGGCGCGCTCTTTTTGAGCGCTCGTTCTGTGACAACCATGCCTGAGTCGAGGTATGGAGTGTGCGCATGACGTCATCCACGAGGATCGGTAGAATCGGGGTCGCCAATTTGGAGGTCCGCGCGCTCACTGCACACGCCGTTTCCGATATCCGCACGGAAACGTGGATGGTTCCTGACCTTAGGAACACTTCCTGCACGCCGAAACAGGGACAGCAGGACGGCGCGTACGAACGGACCTTCAAAATGACACGATCGTCTTGGCCCCTTGCGGATCAAGACTTAGTGCATAAAATGCGAGCGTTACATTTCTTTGATCCTATGGCCGCAGGTATGCCCACGAGTCGGTGAACGTGATGGTTGTCGTGGTGCTCCTGTCTTTCCTGCCGCACGGTGGACGGAAAGGATCGGTGCTCGACTGGAAGAACGTGTCCGGTCGCATCTCCTGGCGAGCCTTGCTGTCCGTGGGTGGTGGTCTCTCGCTTGCCGGAGCCGTCGAGGTGAGAGAGTAACAAACAGAAAAATCGTGGGCACCTCTACTCCAAGTGAATGCTGGGAAATCGCAATGTGCGTCCCGTGCCTGCGTTTGTTTTCGCAGCGTTTCTTTTTTCCGTACGCAGCTCAAGATCCACTCGATACCGGGGTTTCGCTTGTGTTTTGGCTACCGTGCCTCGCTTCTCTTCGCTAGTGTTGAGCAATCGACTTAGTCGTTCTCCATTGACGGCGGCAGGCATCAAGACTGATTGTTGGCCTATAGTGGGTATTTGCTTATTTACTCTGTCTGATATTTCGCGGCAAAAGTAGGTCACTAAGGCGGGATGCACTCTTCGTCGGCACTGATGTTCTCAGGCGAGCGCGCATACTGTTCTTGGCGAGCCCCCCCAGAGTGGCCTCCATGGCGGGAAAGACTCCCCGACAAACGGCGCCTTCCTGTTTACTACTACGGTTACCTTATTTGCTACAACGGCGCCTTATACAGTAACCCTATTGGATTCTGTTGTAGCTTCAGCGTAGGAACGCTGGCGGCGAAACCATCACAGACGTTGGAAAGATGGTACAGTGGCGCTTTCTCTCGGCCTATCGCGGTGAAGCTCGGCGGTTATTTAGGTTGAAAACTGCATGACTCCGAGCACCGTTTGCCCTCGGTCTATGACTGCGTTGCACCTAAAATAACTAGTTCGCTTTTTAAAAGAAAGTACTCGCCACTAATTTTTTAGATTTGATCAGCTTATGGCGGAGTTCATTCCTGTGTAGCATGGCCACTCTTGCTGCTCATGCGCCAACTCTCTCCCTCCCCTCTACCAGCGTGGGAGCAACGATGTGGGAGGGCCTACTAGTAGCTTCACGCTCTCGCGAGGAGAGGAAGGAGAGTTGGCGCATGCGCTGTGGGGGAGTGAATGGTCATCGAGCGTGAGGGAAGGAAAAATGTCACCTAGGGCCCTCTCTTCGCTTGAGCACAAGGATGTGGGAGGATGTGGGGTGGTGGGTGTGATAGAGCGCTGCCTTCAGCTTTGTTTATCATCTTCCGTTTATTTCTCTGTCACCGGTGTGCGTTCGTATATAATGCTGAAAGCGCTCGCTCCTTTGAAGGGGTGGTTAGAAGAGGAAAAAGGCACCTAATTTCTGCACCCCGGTACGGAACATGGCGCAGTGCCTGAATTCCTTAAGGCCTGATCCACGTAGCCGTTACAGCGCGTCGGCGCGTTGCTTCTTGAGGCGTCATCATGCCCTCTCCCCATGAAAAGAGAGGGCACATGAGTACACGAAGCTGCGCACTTTGTCTCTCCACATTGGAGAGTGCTCGGCGCCGCGTGAGAAAGACTACGCGCCGACGCGCTGCAACGGCTGCGTGGATTCAGTCCTTTACACTCTCCTAGCAGCGCTGGGCGTTCACTTTGCGGCACACTTATGATGATACACGAAAATGAGAAGGGGGGTTACATAATCGGTACACAACATATACACAAATCGACACATACACGGAAGCATACAAATGGAAACACAGGTGAACACCAGCGCTGCTTTGCATCCCCACAGGTTTGCATCACCACAGGATGGTGTAATTTTTTTTCTTTTGCCGAATGCTCTGATGCACAGCCCTCAAGCATGCGTGCAAGACCGAAGAAAATAAAGCAGGATTTTTAAGGAACACTACTTTTATCAACTACTACACCGAACATAAGTCTGCATTCATTCTGACATATGGCCACGGTAGGAACGTTGATTCACCAATCCCGCAACTTATGTACAGTGTCAATTTTTATAAAAAAGGAAGCATGGCAGCGCGTGGCCTGCGCACCCCGGCGGCTGCTGGCAGCGCGTTGAAGCGGGAGCGATAGCAACCGCAGCCCCGAATCTTCGCGTCGTCTCGCGGCGAGCAAGACAACGACTCGTCGCTGAAAGGAACCAGCGGCAAGATTGCGAACCCTTTCAAGGCGATTGCCAGCGAGAGGCGAGTAATCACCTTGAAGGGTGAGGGGGTCACAATTTCGCCGCTGGTTCCTATCCGCAACTAGTCGTTGTTTTGCTCACCGCGAGACGACGCGAAAAGAGATTGTGGTTTGTCACAGAACGAGCGCTAAAAATGGGCGCGCCACCAAATTCTTGCGATAACGGGCGGGAGAAACGCCGCGAAGTTTAGGCAGGCACTTCAGCAAGGGAAGGCCCTTTCCTCTCCCTACTCACGAAATTTGTTCAGTTGGCTACATTCCCGGGCAACCTGTGTTTTTTTCCTTGAAAGACTTTCTTTTGAACAGTTTAGTCTTGTGCCCCCTCTGCCCTCCTTACTAGAAAATATCCTGGATACCATGCCTGAGTCGAGGTATGGAGTGTGCTCGTGACGTCATCCGCGAGGATCGCTATAATCAGGGTTGCCAATTTAGAGGTCCGCGCCCTCACTGCACATGCCGTTTACGAGATCGCACGGAAACGTGGATGCCTAGGGAGCTTAAGAACACTTGCTGCTCGTCCTAGCACGGACAGCAGGAAAGCGCGTACGAACGGACCTTCAAAATGACACAACGATCGTTTTGGCCCCTTGCGGATCAAGACTTAGTGCATAAAATGCGAAGGTTACATTTCTTTGATCCTATGGCCACAGGTATGCCCACGAGTCGGTTAACGTGATGACTGTCGTGGTGCTGCTGTCTTTCCTGCCGAAAGGTCGACCGAAAGGATCGGTGCTCGACTGGAAGAACGTGTCCGGTCGCATCTCCTGGCGAGCCTTGCTGTCCGTGGGTGGTGGTCTCTCGCTTGCCGGAGCCGTCGAGGTGAGAGAGTAAGAAACAGAAAAATATTGGGCAGCTCTACTCAAAGTTAATGCTGGGAAATTGCAATGCGCGTCCTGAATCTGTGTTCGTTTTCGCAGCGTTTCTTTTTCGCGGCCGCAGCTCGAGATCCACTCGATACCGGGGTTTCGCTTGTGTTTTAGCTGCTGTGCCTTGTTTTTCTTCGGTAGGGTTGAGCAATCGACGTAGTCGTTCTCCATTGACGGCGGGATGCATCAATACTGATTGCCGGCTAAGTTGGTATTTGCTTAATTTTTTCTGTGTGATATTTCGCGGAAAGTATGTCATTTGGCGGGGTGCACTCTTCGTTGGCACAGATGTTCTCGGGCCAGTGCGCATACTGTTCTTGGCGAGCATCCCCAGAGCGGCCTCCATGGCGGGAAAGACTACCCGACAAACTGCCCCTTCCTGTTACTGCTAGGGTTCCCTTATTTGCTACAACGGTGCCACATACAGTAACGCTGTTGGCTTCTGCTGTAGCTTCAGCGTAGGAACGCTGGAGGCGAAAACATCACAGACGTTGGAACGATGGTACAGTGGCGCTTTCTTTCGAACTATCACGGTGAAGCTTGACGGTTGTTTAGGTTGAAAACTGCGTGACTCCGTGCACCATTAACCTTCGGTCTATGACGGCGTTGCACTTATTATACTAGTTCACTTTTTAGAAGAAGGTACTCGCCACTAATTTTTTAGATTTGGTCAGCTTATGGCGGAGTTCATTCCCTTGTGTGGCATGACCACACCTACTGCTTATGCGCCACCTCCCCTCCTCTCCCGGCGTGAGCGCCAGGACGTGGGAGAACCTACTCTTCACGCTGCACGCGAAGAGAGGAAGGAGAGTTGTCGCATGTGCAGTGGGGGAGCGGACGGTCACCCAGGGCTCTCTCCTCGCTTGAGCATGAGTACGTGGAAGGAAGTGGGGTGTAGGATGTGATAGAGCGCTCCCTTCCGCTTGGTTAATCCTCTTTCGTTAATTTCTCCGCCACCGCTGTGCGCTCGTATATAACGCTGCAAGCGCTCTCTTCTTTAAGGCCGGAATCCACGTAGCCGTTGCAGCGCGTCGGCGCGTCGCTTCTTGAGGCTGCACGTGCCCTCTCCCCATGAAGAGAGAGGGCGCATGGCTACGCGAAGATGCGCGCTTTGTCTCTCCACATTGGAGAGGGCTCGGCGCCGCGTGTAGAAGACACGCGCCGACGCGCTTCAATGGCTACGTGGATTCAGGCCTTTACGTTCTCCTAGCAGCGCTGGGTGTTCACTTCGCAGCACACATATGGTGATATACAAAAAATGGGAGGGGGGGGGTAACATAATCGGTACACAACATATACACATATCCACACACATACACGGAAGCATACAAATGGAAACACAAGTGAACACCAGCGCTGCTTTGCATCCCCACATGGTTCTCTTTACTAGGGGATGGTGTAATTTTTTTTCTTTTTCCGAATGCTCTGCTGCACAGCCCACAAGCATGGTGCAAGACCGAAGAAAATAAAACAGGATTTTTAGGAACACTACTTTTATCAACTACTACACCAACCATAAGTCTGTACTCATTCTGACATATGGCCACGGTAGGAACGTTGATTCACCAATCCCGCAACTTATGTACAGTGTCAATTTTTATAAAAAGGAAGCACAGCAACGCGTGGACTGCGCGCTCCGGCGGCTTCTGGCAGCGCGTTCAAGCGGGAGCGATAGCAACCGCAGTCTCTTTTCGCGTCGTCTCGCGGCGAGCAAGACAACGACTCGTCGCTGAAAGGAACCAGCGGCAAGATTGCGAACCCTTTCAAAGCGATTGCCAGCGAGAGGCGAGTAATCACCTTGAAGGGTGAGGGTGTCACAATTTCGCCGCTGGTTCCTATCCGCAACTAGTCGTTGTTTTGCTCGCCGCGAGACGACGCGAAAAGAGATTGTGGTTTGTCACAGAACGAGCGCTAAAAATGGGCGCGCCACCAAATTCTTGCGATAACGGGCGGGAGAAACGCCGCGAAGTCAAAAGAAAAAAAAGGAAAGAAAAAGAAAACAAACAGCCAAGGCTCCCCAGGCGCGCGCTCTCCCCGCAGAAGCGTGGCTTCATCGACGAACCTCCTCACCCCACAACGGCGGCCGAGCAAGCCCGCGATTTTTCTAGAACGAAGGAGGCGTGGCCACGCCGAGATGAGTCATCCGACGCGGAGGGCAGTCGAACCGTCTCGCACCTCTCCCCAGCCTTCGTTGCGCATCGCGCCGACGAAATGAGGAGAACTTTCTGGAAGGTGGCGCGGAAGGTATTTAATCGAGCGGCCGAGACGAGAAAGCAGGAGGAGACGGAAGTTAACGCCAGAGCGCGTAGGGATTCCGCCGTGTAGTCGGCGAAGGTTTTGGTCCGTAGGGACGAAGCCGGAGATGAAGAGGATTGCCACCTGAGGGGTGAAGGCTCGGGCTACAGGCAAGAGCGTGTGTCTACCGCTATCGAGCGAGGACGCGTGGCAACAGCTACGGGTGTGAAGCCGACGTGTTCCGGCGAAGACGTTGAAGTTTGAAGAGTGGCCAATTGAAGACGGGAGGTTTCCTGGAAGAGAAACTTCGAGGACAGCGGAACGGCAACAACGCTGGACTTTGAGTGAGTGATTCTCGGAAGAGTATCATTCAGACTTTGGTTCCAAGGACTTTGGACTGAATAGATTTTCTATCTCTTTAGTCTTTAAGTGTCTTGGTGGTTCAATGCATGCGACTGCATTGTAGTGTGTATTGTTGTCTGTGTCCGTTGTTTTGAGTGTGGCTGATTGTACTGTGTAGTACGTCGTTTGATTGGTTTGATTGGTGACATATTGTATGCAACTATTGTGGAGTGTGCATTTTTGAGCATTGTTTTCGATCTGCCATTATTGAGAATATAATTTTGTTTGTTTATCAACTCTCGGCTCTGACTTGTTCTTTGGGCCACAGCCGGCGTCTGCTGGCGCGCCAATAAGGACCACTCCTAAATTGTCCACGCTTTCGTGGTGCGGTTCGGAGGGCCGATACTTCGGCTCTTAGAATTAGCCCGGCGATCGCCTTCCCTAATTAACGGGACCTGTGTGACATGGTTGCTATCGCTACCGCTTGAACGTGCTCCCGTGCTCTTTTTCATAAAATTTGACACTGTACATACATTTCATCAGCAAATTCTTGAGCCACGTTTTATTCAATTTTCAGCACAATGCACGTGCTCTCCAGCAATGTTTCACACGTGCGTTTCCGGCAGTGATACCACGTGTGAAATTTTGTCTTCTGCCCCATTTCAGACAGACGAGGCGTGCTCTGATGAATGGTCAATAAAGCGGCCAGTTTTCCGGCTGCATTGCTTGCCGCAGATAAGCGGAATTTTCGCGCGCGGAATTCCGCCTAGTCCCGGCAAGACACGTTCCACTTTCATTCTTATTTTTTTACACACAAGATTTCTTCGATTGCTGACTTACTCATTAAAACGAAAAGGGAAATGTGAGAAGACAACTGAAAGAACTGGGAATTTTGCTCGTAACTAATTCTAATGTTTATAAAACAACAGAAAGCTGAGGTAGCTGGTACTTATTTTGAAAAACAAAAGGGCGTGCAAAGACTGACCAAGAAGAAAGTCAGGACAACACAAACACCTGCTAACAACTGAAGATGCGGCCAACGGCGGAAAATAACGATACAAAAACTTACTTGCGCATCAGAAAGAACACAGGATAGAGCGCACGTCTCTATCTTATCTGGACCCGCCGTAGTGGTTTAGTGGCTAAGGTACTCGGCTGCTGCTGACCCGCAGGTCGCGGGTTCAAATCCCGGCTGCGGCGGCTGCATTTCCGATGGAGGCGGAAATGTTGTAGGCCCGTGTGCTCAGATTTGGGTGCACGTTAAAGAACCCCAGGTCGTCGAAATTTCCGGAGCCCTCCACTACGGCGTCTCTTATAAACATATAGTGGTTTTGGGACGTTAAACCCCACATATCAATAAATCAATCAATCAATCAATCTATTTTATCTGTCTTTTGTATCTGGAGTGCCATCTATTCCTTCTGTGTTCTTTCTGAAGCGTTCCTTGCACTCTAAGAAAGTATATTATCTGCGCATGCCCATGCAATATGCGAACTTATCAATCCAGCATGCGCGGCTTTCTACGGGAAAGATAACTAATAAGACATCTGATTTCATCTACATACATAAAGTTAATTGCACTTTGACTCAGGCATACGCTACCGCTATTATCTATAGACTATTTTACGAAGAGGTTTCAGTGCTGCCATGTTAGGCTGTTAACCTTTGTGGTTTGCACCTTTAACAGCTAAACGAACATCGTTACGGTAGAGGCACACACATGAAAATGGTTGAGCTGATGCATACGATGCTTCATCGCCTTATAAATTCACGTTGCAATATGAAGAAAACATCGAGTTAACAGACCAAGATGGTGGTGCCCTTGTGTCTTGGGTAAAATAGTCTACATTCCTTGCCTCAGTCATCTAGTGTTTGTGATGTCATGACCTCGTTCTCGTGTCCGTGTTTGCGTGCCCTGTTTTTTTTCAGAGTAATTGTTATGTTATTTGCTAGCTGTTAGTCTCAAACACACAGGTACAGAGAGCTTTCAGCTGTTAGTGCCTCTGTGGCCACGCTACCAGCGTGACTTTCGCGTATTTGCGCGGGACTCGAGACGTGAAGCGCGATCGCATTGACGCAGTGGACGGGTCTTTCCCGGCGCATCACCGAGGAGCTGAGCAGCCTGGACTTCCTGACGCCGCTGCAGACGCAGGTGGTGCTCATTCTGCTGACCACCGTGCTTACAGAGGTCAACACCAACGTGGTCATCGCCAGGTTCCTCATACCGATCGCCTCGGACATCGTGAGTGGCTATCTACTCGAGAATATCGGGCTTGTGCCTAAAAAATGAAACATTTTTATGGCGATAAATTGTTTCAGAGGAAGGCAAGAGGCGACAGTACGTACGAATGTAGCAATACGTGTGTATCCTTCGTATTCAAAGGGAGGTAACAACTGAACACGGATGTCCTGCATTTGGAACAAAAAAAAATATACCCTTATTCGTACAATGGTGTACAGATTAACACGCAGAACGTAAAACGGCATTTGAATGTTGAGAGTGTATCACTATATTCGGTGTTTCGAACCACAATAGCTACTGACATTGATATAAGTTACTATCACCAAAGTAGGATGCATATGTAATGCTGAAGATCAAAATTATCGATAGTATTATACACCTTTCTAAGACTCCAAAGTGGCGTCGGTATCAATAAATGGTTTGCTTTGTTGTTGCGGTCTCGAGTGATGCATGGGAACATAAAAGCCTTCCACAGTAATGGATCTTCTTATTAACTTCCTCTTAACAATAGCCCCCAGTGGCTCCTTCATACGTATCGTTTGTCATGCGGCTTCTGAAGTAAGGAAGCCCGTGAAGTATTCACATATTGACGATTAGGGGCACGCATGCACGCGCCGCAGGGCGTGCTCACCAACGTGCACCCTCTGTACTACGCCCTCCCCGTGGCCATGGCGTCATGCACGCCCACTGTGCTGCCCACGGCGGCTCCCAGCATCGCCGTCGTCACCTCGTGCATGGACATCCAAATCGTCGACATCGTGAGTGCATCGCGGTCTATATGGGGAGGAAGACATGTTTTAGAGGGATGGACACGTTAGGTCATGCAGCCAATGTTCTTTCGCGACTCTCTAATCATACCCATGGCAGAAAGCCTGGTATCGTTCCCGGATAAAAAGAAAACTGTAGCCTGGCGTCGTCTTAGACACAAACCGTATTGAAAATTCTCGTGTCGTTAAACACGTGTGATGACTCCAAGTTATTAAGAGTAAACAATTAAATATATCATGGCATATCCACGAAGTGAATGATGATGAGTGGACGAAGCAGGGGAATAGGGAAAAGAGGAGAAAAGTGAGCCCCGTAACTGTCTGAATCAGAGTGCGACATTTCAGCAGTAGCTCACAAGGAATGGGGGGAAGAAGATATTAAATGGATAATAATAAAAGGTATATATAGAGAGAGGAAGGAGAGAGCGAGGCGCAGGGACAGAGAGTGACGGAAGTTAAGAGGAGATAGGAAAGATGGAAACGGTCGCAGGAGTCCGAGGACGGGGCACCACTTAGCGAGAGCTCATGTCGGCGGCAGGAGATGGCGTAGGGGGAGCCCAGTCGGCCAGAGCTGCGCTGTCGTCGGTGATTGTGGGGGCACAACCGGTCGACACGAAATCCAGCGAGCGAGTCCCAAGCATGGGAATAGTTCGGTGTTACCGTAAATCACCCGTGGCATTGTTCACTCACGCATGTAAATGAGGGACCTACAGCTACATACAATGCTTATTGGTCATAAATGGTATGTTGTCCGAACCTTGCATCTGCTGTGCCTTAATAGCGGGAGAAGAAAGTGGGGTGTAGAACGCGCTTATTCTTCATTGTAATCGGCACCATCGTCATCATCAGCAGCGGCTACGGCGCGATAGAGGACAGGCCTCGTTCATGAGCAGCTTTGCATTTAAAAGAAGTGGCGATAAGGGCGGCATTGCAGGCAAATAAGGAACGAAGAAGCTAATTGTGGTGAAAACGAGCGCTCAGATGGTTGAGCATCACAATCTTTATCTCACGGTCATTGGTTCGAGCCCTACACAGCTCTCATATTAGTAACCCTTTCGCTTCCTCAGTTTTGTACTTTCACAGTTTTTTTTTCGCTTCTTATCAGCACCTTCAACAAATGAAGAAAACTTAAAAGTAATCAGCGTACATTGAAGTAGATCAAGCCGATCGATTGTGAAAGAACAGTGAACCTGATGACATAAGTTTGAATGAAATGCGAGTCCAGTGACTCAATTGCATCAATAAGAATCAAGAGTGAAATCAACGTTCTTACAAAACAGAGGCTTTTGCCTGTGATATCCTTAGCCTAAAATGACGTGGCGGATCCCCCACACCCCAATAATTTGTTGTGCAAAAGCACAGCACGGTAGGCCGATTAGGTTAATTGATACTTTTGTAACCTAAAATTGCACCGATAAATCAATAAATAAAGAAATAAATGAAAAAAACCGTCAAATAAGTCAGTCCAGTCTAGTCCAGAACGTTCTAGTCCAGTCCAGTTCGGTCAAGTCTAGTCTAGTCTAGTCTGATTCAATTCAGTTCGTTCGTTCTGTTCGTCAGTATACTTCAGTAAATTAGGTTCAGTCGGGTTCATTTCGCTTCGCCAGCTCAGTCAGGCTCAGTTTATTTTAGTTTGTCCGTTCAATCAGGCCCAGTTTATTTCAGTTCTTCAGCTCTGCCATGTTCAGTTTCAATTCAGTCAGCCCGCCTCTCACGCGTGCAGCTGTACCCGGGCCTGGCCGTGAAGCTGAGCTCCATCCTCCTCGTGCTCGCCACGGTGAACACAGTCGGCGTCTCGCTGTTCTCCCTCAGCGACCTGCCCGCCTGGGCCGTCGCCAAGAACGGCATCATGACGGGCGCACTCGCCAACGCCAGCAGTGCTGCCTAGCGGTGTTGCGTCGCAACACTGGCTTGTCGCCCCAACACCGACGGGAGTGAACGTGGCAGGCCAGACCTACGGTGTCGGTCACCAAGACTCGGCAACTTTTTGCCTCGTCCCGATGCCTCCGACAATTTTCGGACATAGTTCGCAAGAATGACTGTTTTTACTTTTGTGATCCTTATATTTGACGTTCTTCTTTCTTATTTTCTCTGCTAAGGTTGTGTTTTTTCGTTTAATATAATCTTTTATCACGCTCTCTGTGATTGACACCACTCAGCGCTTATCCATGGTTTTGTGCCGCCTCGTATTTTTTGGTTTGTTTTTCTATCACGCGTTACGCGCCACCTGCGGGCTTGCGTATGAGCGTCAAGGTTTAGACTAGCAGTGAGGCGAACTAGTCGGTGTGTGTTCATTCTAAAAGACAGGTCGTTCAAACACGGACACAAGAAGAAAGTCGTCTATGGTGTCTTCATCTCTTCCTTGTTATTGTGCTTGCATGTCCCTCAATGATACCAATATCTGGAGTTTTACGTCCCAAAACCACGATATGACTACGAGATACACCGCGTATAGTGGAGGGCTCCGGAAATTTCGACCACCTGGTGTTCTTTAACGCGCGCTGTCGTCACACAGCACGCGCTGGCTTCGACCGTTTCGCCTCCACCGAAATGGGACAGCGACGGCCGGGAAGTTTAGCCCGCGACCTTTGTGCTTCTACGCTCTGTTCTTCAGAGCGTGTCAAGCTACCGACTGTAAAGTTACTTGGTACAGAGTGTAGCGAAAGCATGCATCCATGCAGGTCGTGTCTGTAGTGCATTTAGCGAAATTTCTTCGCTCACCGGTTTAGTTGTAGCAATGGTGGCTACGAGAACAGGGCTCAATGAAGCATGTTCATGAAGCTGTGCACAAGCTTCCTTCTAAGCACATTCGTCGAACTAGTTCACCAGGTACGATGACGCACTGCTAAGCTCGAAGTACACGTTAGATTCCCGGCCTGAGCCTCCACACTGCGAAGGGGGCCGACACGCAAAGAACACTCGTGCACATAGCCTCAGGTGCACTTGGAAAGACACCCCATGGTCAGCGTTGTCTGCCACTTTGTGGAACCTCACAAACACGTCTTGGTTTTGGTCCGTAAAACCTGAGAAGTTACTGGTTTTGGTTTGCTCAAAAATTTACTAAGTTAAGTTACTGGTGCGCTGTAAGTTGACTTATCCGTGCCTTCTGATGTGCGACATGGCCTGTGAGAGTCCTTGTCGAGAGGTCAATGCTCGGACGATGTCGTTATTATCACCAATACGTGATTGGCTGTAACGGCCGGAAAGGACGATATGTTTTTTGAGACAGCCCCGTATAGTGGAGGGCTTCAGAAATTTTCACCACCCCGGGGTCTTTAACAGTGCGCCCATATTTTAGTACACGGGCTTCGAGTGCTTTCGTCGCCATCGAAAAATGCGGCCTCGGCGCTCGAGATTCGATCCCGCGACCCGCCACAGTGCGACCATGCACCACGGCGGGTTGCATGATTTAAAAATTTTTTCTGGGGTGTACTTTGCGAAAGCTAACGTGCAATAGGGACCTGAAACACGTGACCCGCGGGGCATTTGTGTGAGCTTCGTGGCTTCGCGCGGAATACCGTTCTGCGACTTCACTAAATAGTATAGTAGCATTATTTATGTAGTCTATTGCAGTTAACGTTTTCTTTCGGTAAAGTACAGAGACTAAACTGGTATCAAAGCATCTTTTTCTTTTTTTTTTGTGATGCACGCCATGCGGTCACCGAGTTGGAATATCACCGCAGAACGAAAGCTGTATTAGAATCGGCGTCCAGATTTCAGACGATGTGGATATTGGTATCGATGTGTTTTTCGAAACCTGACGTCTATATCGCCTTTAGGAATGACCCAGATATGAAAAAAGCGCTTTGTGCCGGAGTTTGTGGAGTTAAATTTCCTGAGAGAGAAAGCGAACTTTTATAAAGTAGAGAATTTTCCGGCTAGATGTTGGCGGTCCCTTATGGTGTCTGCGGCATGCTAGCTGATATCAGCTCGAGACAGCTGAACTAAAGCTTCAGTTGATTGATTGATTGTCCCTTTTTAACCTGGCGCAACCCACCATGGGGTATCGGCAATGAAACGAGCGTTGCCTTGCTATATAAAATAATTTGTTCATTATGTCAAAACGTTAAGCAATAGATATGTGAACCCGTTTGTTAGATTAATTCACAAGAAAAAAAGACGAACGTTTTTAATGAATATGCTTCACTTTGATAACCTCAGAATTCAATTCGTTTCAATAAATAAAAGAAAAAAGATGACTAATGTTTTTGAAAAGTATGCAAGATTTCAATAAGCTTAGCATTCGGTTCATCTCGTCCTACGTAGCAATTCGCACACGGCCTCGCGAATGCAGTTGTGGCTAAAACCCTGCATGGTGGCGCCAATGGAAAGAACCATCGGAAGGGATAAATTTAATCTAATTCTTCGAAGCGTGTCATCTAGAACTCTTTTCTTCTGATTGTAAAATAACATGCTCGTTAGTTCCGAGTTATAGGGCTCGTTTTTGTTTCTTTTCGTGCTGACAAAAGTTGCTCGCAGCATCGCATCTGAACGTTGCCCGACAACCAACCGGGCTGTTAACCTTGAAGCCGCAGAGAGCGAGGCGCGCAGAGGTCGTTTAATTTCGTGCGCGAACACAGGTTGGCACGCTCTTCTGCCATCGCCGGCCAGCCGTATTGAACCGCCCGAGGTGGAGGGTTATGGCCGGCACTTCTCGAATTAGGCGCCGAGGAAAACTACCGCCACGCTGTTTGTATCGTTTTAGCGCCACAGTCAAGTCATTCTTTTGTATGCACGTATTATAGCGATAAAAAGCTCGTGTCACAGAGGTTCTGGCATCACTGTCGGCAGGCGAAACCCAGAGGGGACAAGTATTTAAAAGAACAAGAACTGGTGTGTGTCGCTTATCGCAATTGTATCACCAAGTCCCGCTGAGATAAAGAAGTACCGTAATAAATTTGAACCGCGTTTATTGTCTGTAAACATACGCCTGGTTATTCACTATTTGAAATTTTCCTGACTCCCTTTTATGGTGTTACAAGATATGTAAACACAAAACCTACAAGTGGAATTTTTTTAGACATGATTCACCGATAGCATTTTTGAAGGACATGCGTAGTTTTCGTATTACTTACTCAGGTGGTCATTAGCAAGGCCTTTTAGAAGAGGTCGCTTATGCGGTCTCTACGATGAAAGAAACCAGCACCCTCCTGGTTCTTGCGATCAAGGGCACTGATGACTAATTCGTGCTAATTTCACATTCGCACACTTAAGTGTTGTGACCTCTCGTCACTCGTTTTCATCAAACGCATTGCAACGTCCCTCGCGATTTTAGTAATTATAGGTTTTTGCGTACATTTAGTGAGAAAAACTTTAGGCCCTTACACAACCATAAAACGTAGTCATTAACCTCATTCCATATCGTTATTATTTCGTGATAGCTGTAACCTTAAGAAACGGGAAGAGAGCAGAGTGGCTGTTGGAGAAAAGGTGGGTTACGAAAGTCGCAAATGAAACCAAAGAGAAGAAATACGCGTGGGCCAAGCACGTAGTGCGTAAGCAGGTTAACTGCCGCTGGTCATTAAGGGTAACTGATTAGATTCGAAGAGAAGGTAAAAGCGTAGGAGGTAGGCAGAAGATGAGGTGGCCAGATAAGATTATGAAGTTTACTTGTAAAACGTGGGAGCAGAAAGCATAGGACGTGGTCGCCTTTGCCTTGAAAGTGGGTGAAGTTAGGATGGGGATGATCATGATATCGTGGCCTGATGCTCTTTCATGGTCACTGGTCATCGCACCCTAAGGCCTTATACATCATCGTTTTCATCATCATCAGCGGCAACATCTTGCGTTCTTGGGATGGCGGCTACTACCTGAGTAAGTGCGATACTTCGATCAATAACCAAAAAGAGTATATGCACTTATGCTTTTGCCAGCTTCCTCTCCGCTGGGGAAAAAACTTTCTCGGAAGCGAACCTTTGTTCAGCTATGCATGCAGGAAAATGCCGCGCTATAATAACCACTGTCTCACGGACGCCTAAAGGTACGTACAAGTCACGACAGACGTGTCAGCGCCACCGTGACAATCCACTCTATACCGCACCTCCACCGACTCAACACACCGGTTCTTTTTTTTTTTTTTGTCTTATTTCTTTTCTCTTTGACACGGATGCGCGGTGTATTCTTGACGTCGCCTTTCGGAGCCCATCCGCGGAAAAAGGGGGACCGCCGCAACCTTGGCACGTCCGCCCCGAACGCTTGTCCATTCGAAACGTCGTCGTTCATTTGTTTGCGCATATTTATCTCCCTGCGTGCCACCGCTATTCCTGAGCATCGCAGCGTCAGACGCGAATGCGTATATGCGGATTCACGCTGTAATCACGCAACCACGTACACCCTGGTCGGTGCACGTGCGTGTACCGCAGTTCGTCGTACATAAGC